GCCAGGTTTTGGTCATCCCCTCCCCCGAAACTGCTTGGGTCAAGGTTACCGGACACCCTCACTTTGTCAAGTCAGTAGTCACTGTTCTGTGTTACCCAAAGTGTCCACTCAGTGGACCATTCCGTCTTCTTCATACCCTTCTTTTCTTGGCTTCTCTGAAGCATAGTCTCCCAGTTTCTCGCTCCTCGTTTCCTTTAACTCAAATGTTACGGCACGCCAGGGCTCGGGGCTGGACTCAGCTCTGCTCCTTTCCTCCCGGTTCCGTCTAATCCGAGGTGCAGATACTGTCGATATGCACGTTCATATTGTCAGCCGTATCACTTCCCTACTTGAATAGCAAATAGGTATTTCACACTTAAAATGGTCGAAGTGGGCCTCTTGGTTGGCTCCCTCGAAAACTGTTCCTTCATTCTTCTTCACCTCAGTACTGGGCACCTCCTTCCACTCAGATGTTCAAGATGAAAAACTAGGAGTTGTCTTTCCCCCTCTTCCCCGGACTCTGCCTCAGAAGCGGGTCCTCAGTACGTGAATTTCTGTCCACACCATTGCGCTCACTTGGGCCTGAGCTCCCATTCCCTTCTGTTGATTCTTACCCGAATCACTGCAGCAGCCTCTTGGCTGTCCTTGCAACTTCCCACTTGCTCTCCTGCCGACACCATTTCCCACCGCCCAGCCCCCAGTGCCAGCCACTCCAGTCGGGCTGCATGGGCTTTTTTTGGTTACTCAGAAGGGCAAAGTTCAGTCCTCCTCTGGGGTCTTGCACTCATTGTTGCCTCTGCTAGAACAACTAATTCCTCTTGCCGTTCAGGTCTCGGCACAGATGTCCCTTTACCAATGAACCCTTCCCCAGCCACCCAATCCGAACCCTTCTACCCAGTGAGTATCTGACTTGACTTTCTTGATTATCCTTTTCACCACCTGCACTTACTCATATTTGTGTCATTTGACATGTCTTCTGTTAGAATACCCGTCCCATGAAACTGGGAGCCTTGTCCGGCTGCTTTAACCCCCAACACTGTGTTCCCAGCACCGCGAACATTGCCTGACACATGACAAGTGCTCAGTAAATATCTGTTGAACAGATACATTTTGCAGCCACGTTTGCGTTAATACAGCACGGGCTCACCCCACAACTTCGACCCTAGGGAAATGTGCCTCGTTTTCCCCTTGCCCTGGGTGCCCACGCTTCGTCACCTCATTCCTCACTCGAAGAAGCGTCCCACTCCTTCCCCCTGCATTAGCCACTGTTAAAAATCTACAGTCTCCAAACCCCCTTCAGAATGAAAAGAAGGATGATAGTGTTCTGAATAAACATCAGTGAGGAAGCTTGTCAATAAGTTATCAATATATGCCAAAACAAAAAATAGAGACCCTCATAAAAATCTGCACACTTGAGTATTTGGGTTGATCCTTGATTTAAATAAACAAGTATGCTTTCCTGATGTGGCTTATAAAAGTAATACGGTATTAGGTGATGTGAAGAGAAATGGCATAGAGGCCCGAGTATGCTTTGAAAGGGTGAGTATCTGATAGGTCACGATTTTAGGCCACACACCAACTGGCTCAGGAGGGAAAACATGGGGAAGAATAGTGGCATGAACATGTCTCCCCTTTTTGTGTTTGTCCAAAATTGAGTTTAGAAGATAGGCCCAAGAGAGCAATACTCTTTCTTCCAACCACAGGATAATCTTTATCAAACTTGTTTCCACCCCCCCACCCCCCCACCCCCGTGAGTGAGAAAATGAAACTTAGTTAATCCAAAGTTACCTCGTAATGTAAGTGTGTGTGTGTGGGCCGAGTAACTGGACTGAGCATTGAAATGTGGAAAGCAAAGTATGTTTACTACTCTTACTTACCTCACCTTTTTTCCCTTACTCAAAATTTGTTTTGAAAAGTAGAAACTCTTCTGTATCCTAAGATAGTTAATCTTATGAAACAGGTCATTCATGGCTAAATTAAAGATTAGCAGTCCCTGAGTCGAGGGCTGTCTTCATCTAATCTGTTACCATGCTCACTTAGCTGTTCATTTTTCCTAGGTCTCTGCTGCCTCCTTGGTGAAAGGGGCTGGTGTTCTAGTCAATATTGTTAGGGTACAAAACAAAATGGTACCCGAGCAGATTAAGGAAGCTTTTTAAAAATGGTCATTTGCACTTGGGTTACCCACTTAATCGTTATCTATAAACAAATGTTGAAAAAATTGGAATTTTACTATGGGTTCAAAACAATGAAACAGTTTCTGCCAAATAGGTTGGGAGTGAGGTCATCCCAGAAAAAGAAGAAAGAAACAGACATTAACAACTAGTCATGAGATTTTAATTACAACAAAACATTTTTCTTAAAATAACTATGGGAGATAAACCTGTTTTCCTTTTCTCTATTACTTGCACATTATTGATGAATAATCTATACCAAAAGTAAATTTAAAATAATCCTGAGTATCATTTTTACTTATCACTTTAGTTCAAGGGTAGTGGAGTTATCATTTATACCAAAAACCAAGTCCTATGTGCTAACTCAGAACTCGAGATAGAGCCAGATGGGACCTGATTAGCCCGTGGCCTGGGCCTTAGCCTTCTCTCCCAGCACCAGTGGCACCCCATTGTGCTGTGAAGCTAGCCTGATGCGCCCTAATCCTTCCTTTGCACTCATTCCAGCACGCCCAGCCCCTGTGGTAGCTAACACTCCTACTGTCAGTCAGTCTGGAACGGTGACCGCCTCTAGGGCCCTCTGCTGTGCACCACGCCCACGGGCCCTGGGAGAACCCTCGCAGAATACAGGCCATTTACGGCTCTGCTGAGAGTAAATCAGACTCGGGGAAGGCTCGGAGAGGAGGGCTTCTCACAGCACCGAAAGGCTTTAAACATTCTCTCCTTCACTTATGGTGAAAAACATTTGCAGCCCCGAGCCTTTCCCACAAAGGAGTGATGCTCCCTGACAGATAATACAAACTCTGAAGAATGAGGTTGAGGGTCAGGGGACTCCCCCGGCTGCCACTCTCCTCTTTCCAGTGACAAGGCTGTAGTGCATGGCTGGCAGGCGGGGGAACATGTTGACTTCCTTTACCTCCTTGCACTGCAGTTGAAAGAAGAACAGGTAAAATGGAACAAATGAGCCAGATCAAATTATTTCTTAAAAATCAACCTGGAGTTCTTGAAAAAAAAAGGAAGCACTAGGAGGAAATGAGTCAGGGGAACCTAATAGGCAAGTGGTGACACCTCTTTTTGTAGGGCAACAGCAAGGGCCACGAAGGGTGGGGCCCCTTCTCCCGGAAATGCCCTCCATGTAGAGGGCAGTGTGACTCAGGCTCCAGGACCCAAGTGCAAGATATGAGTGAGTGAGGCGTCAGTGGACAGCAGGGAGCTTTTGTGCGGATCCCGGACAGTTGCCCCTCATCTCGTCTCCCAGGCTCCGCATCCCTCTGCTCTGAAGCCCCTGCCCCCTGTGTGAGGAGAGTGCAAAGAGGGGAGAGTGGGAGGGAGAGGGGAGGGCCTTCCCTAAATATCTTCCCTAAATGTCTGGTGGCGGTATTGTCCTCAGCTCACCAACAGAACTCTGCACAATGAGACTCCTATTAGAAATTAGAACAAGTGCCTATTGTTTAGGCTTAAACAACTCTAAGTGTTGCTTCTAGAGATAATTAATTTAATTAAAATGGTCCCTGAGGCCAAACTGAGCTTCATACTGAGCACTACACACATTCCTTCCAAATTCCGGCACCAGGCTCTTCAGAACAAGCAGGCCGTGGGGCGTAACTCCACAGACACACTGGGCCTGGGCCCCCGGACTTGCCTCTTCACTCCTCTTGGGCTGGAGACCCCAGCCCAGCGGCTAGACACGAGGATCTTCCCAGGCTGAGGAGAGTGCCATTCGTTCTGATGAAGTCAAAGAAAAGACCACTTTAATCTGTTGATTCAGATCCAGAAATGATGAGGCATTTCCCCCTTCCTGGTGCTATATGGGAGACGTTTGGCTTACTGACTACATCCAGATGAAAAGTCCCGCGTGTAGCCTCAGTCCATTGGTGCTCAATAAACAAACATTGAATAAATGAGTGGATAAATGAATAAAAACCAATTCTTTTCATTGGCTTTTCAGCCTATTGTCTTTTGGAATAAGTACATTGAAAGTAGATTTTAAGTAAATTGAGTAGCATGCAATCTTAGATCAAAACTACCAAAGTGTCACGTGCCCCGAGGGCACATAAGAAGACACTGTGGCACTGAGTGGTGTTCGTTTGTTTCATGGTGGGTATAATTCGACATGTTCAGTGCAAACCCTGAGGCAGGCACCATGTAAGAGGCCGTATGATATGGTCACTGAGCAAGCAGACTGCTAGAGTCAAAACTGGGTTCCTACCTCTCCCTTTGTCTTGTGTTATGACCATGAATTGATTTTCAACCCCCTCTCTGCCTCATTTCTTCGTCTATAAAACACGAATAACATGAAATCCAAATTTCATGTTGCTCCACAAATTCGGGATACATCAGAGAACAGAATAAAGATCCTTGTTTATGAGGCTTCTAGTCTAGCAAGGGTAGGGGGATGGGAGGCAAGCAAAAAACCATAAATATAATAAAATAAATATATGATACATTAGAAGTTCCATGTGCTGAGAAAAATAGTAGTGCAGGGTAAGCATTCCAAAGGCAGAGTCGGGTGGTACGCGGGGGTAGGGGGGGTGGGGATGGGTTGCAGTTTTACACAGGATGGACAAGGGTAGACAGTACAGGCCTCATTGACAAGGTGACGCTTGAGCAAAGATTTGAAGTTGATGAGGGGGTAAGCCCTGTGTAGAGACAGAATGTTCTAGGCAAAGGGAACAGCCAGTACAAAGGCCAGAGGGCAGAAGTATGCCAGGCATGCTTAAGAGCAAAGAGCAAAGAAGCCAGTGTGTCTTGGAAGGGGAGCAGTAACTGCAGAACAGGTTGTGTAGGACCTTGAGGCTATTGTCAGAACCAGCAGTGAGCCGGGAAGCTCGTCTGACCAGATAGCCCACTGGCGGGTGGTGTGGTGAGGGGGGAGCGTAGGGGTGACTAAGGAGAACTAGAAGCAAGTTTGTGTGCTGATGATCCAGTTGTTCAAATGATCAAGTTGAGTGAATATTGAGGATGAAAGAAAGAGGAGGAAAAGTGGGTACAGGGGTGTGCGTGAGTGGGTGAAGGGGATCGGCTCTAGGTGGGCTCACAGCAACAGGCCGAGTGACAGCGCCTGTGGGTGGAGGTGCAGGGAGATGGGTGGATGTGGCTGAAGTTTCCATCCAGTTCTCTCAAGTTTCTTAAGAGAAGTAGGAAGCAGAGTCATCAGCTGAGAGGAAGGGGGAGAAGAAAGTATGAACTTGTTCTCCAGGAGAACAGGCCAGTAAATGGACTGAGGCAGCATTAAGGGCCCACGTAAGGGTTAATGACCATGAACTCAAAATGAGGTCAGTCAGCACAGTTGCTTTTCACCACCAGACGTATTCAACTCTTCTGGTAAAAAGAGCAGGGGTTTGCCAAGGCCGTGGTTTTGCTAAGCAAGTGTGATGAAGACAGAGGGCCGGGGGCTTCAGGGGTTCCAAAGGGAGCAACTGGGACATGACAGTTTAAGCCTGGGAAGGGCAGGAGAGGGAACCACGAGTACAAACCGGGGAAGGACCGATGGGCCGGAGACCCCGGTGGTTTAGAAGGACTGGAGGACTCGGGGTACTAGGAAGAGTGCACTGGGAGGACAGGAGGTGGAGTCAGATGGCGTGTGCCGAATTCAGACACAAAAGTGGATCTAGAACCTGAGGACAGTATCTGGTGAAAGTACACACCAGATAATAATTAATAGTTAATAGCTATTGTTAGGAGTTCATAATGCCTTATCCAAAAGCTTTGAGACCAGCTATGTTTCTTCTCCAGATTATAGAAAGGCTGTATGGTGCACTGATACCTCTGCTGAGGTGCTGGAAAACTCTCCATCACCGAGCACACTGGTGTCTCCTCTGCACAGGTATGGATATTCGTGTTAAGTGGGGTCAATAGCTTATGCAGCTCAGGCCGGGCTTCAGTATTTAGTAAGTTTTGGCAATGAACTTAAAAAAAAACTAACAACTTTGTTTTTAAGAGCCTTTGCGATTACAGAGTTACAGACAAAGGAAGATGAACCTCAACAGATATTGTGACTAAGCATTTTGAACTTAAGGGAAACCAATTCACTTCTCTATTTCAGTATATTTCTTTTTCAGTATAGAAAGAAGGGCTTTGAGTTTGCAAATTCTCTGGGCTACTTTCAGGCTCAACATTTAATGATTCCTTGATACCCTTCCCTGGATGTTAAAAATAAAAAAATTTTTGTTTTACTAATAAGCTCTCCATAAGTCAATTAGGTAAACAGGCTGGGCCTAAATTTTATATTAATAAAGGAGGTTATTTTTATTGATTATTACAGTCCTGCTTAAACTGATAGTAGCGGAAGAATTTAGAAACTTCCCATATGCAAGGCTAAGAAAAATACAAGTCAGTTACAGGCCACTGAGCATCCGTCAAATTTGTTGAAACCTCTCAGGTCAGTTAGGTTAGAAGGGGGTCAGGCTGAATTCATACGAAGTTTTGATGAAAGCACTTACAAAACACTGCTTTTGTGTAATTAAATTCAAGTTTATTTTCACAACGGCTGAGTGTTTCCCAGTAGCTGTTAAACCACGACGTGCATCGATGACTATGTGAGGCTGATTTTTAATTTAATTCATAACATCATTTGCATATAGTGTTCTTTCAAACCACTGAAGAAAATGCTTGTGCCCTTGAAGTGGAGTCGGGACGTCCCTGCTTCGGTTGCTTCTTCGTATCTCAGCACATCCTGTCTCTGCGCGTAGCTGCCAGCCCGGCTTTGCCAGGTCATCCCAGGCCCCTCGGGCAAGCTCTCCGGGGCGGAGCGCACTTTCCGGAATTCAGCAACATTGTAAAGAATGCAGCAAACAATAAATATGAAGGAATAGAATGTTTTTCATTTTATTTCTTTTCTACAAGTCATGATAAGATAAACCTGTTTTATAAAAACAAAAGAAGAAGAAAGAAAGAAAGAAAATTCATTGGGGGTGAAAAAAAAGGAGATATGCCTGTTTTAAACTGAAAAGGCACCAGGGACATCCTCACCCGTCCTCAGCCCGCACCGCGCCGCTTCCTGTCCACGTATCCACGTATCCAATCACACTGCTACCTGGACTTGGGTTTGATTCAACAGTTTGTTCAAACTTCTTTTACGCGATGGCTTTTGTCCTTCAGGATGCTCTTACCATCTTCCCCTGCCTTTTTGCCTGGCTCAGTGTTACTCAATTTAAACTGCAGCTTTGGCGACCACTTCTTAAGGACGCCTTCCATCCTCAGCCCCACCCCATCCCGAAGACTGGGGGGTGTCCTTCCCCCACGCTCCTGGGGTAATGCTCTGTGTCCCCCCTGCAGTGTGCATCCATGTGGCACCCACGCACCTCTCTTGGTCTCTCCCGTAGGAGGCCGTTGGGAGGGAAGGGACAGTCTGTCTTACACAGTGTTGCTTCTTCAGGGCCTCCATGTGTGGGACTAACTAAAGATCAAGTTTGTAGTTCCACGGTTAGGTCTGTTACACTGCAAACTCAGGAGTGGATAAAACAAAGCAAGCTTTAATCCCACTCTGCTCTTCTTAAGGCCTAAGGAGGTAAGGAAAGGAGGTGGATCCTAGTTGGAGGGAAAAGTTAGCAATGGTGGTTCCTCACCGCTCCAGGCAGGGCAGGGCCCCGTGTGTTGCTGCTGTGTGCCGAGACACCTGCTCCATCCCTGGGGAAATTAGGCTCTTTGTCTGGTCAGGGGGAGACAGCCCAGACAGCACTTGTCTGAGGAGGCCTCGGCAGCAGGAAGAGGAAAAGGGGTAAACGATAAAGATTCTGTTTTCAAGGCAGTCATTTAATAATACAACAGATACCTTCCAAGTGCCTGTGCCAAGCAGCCGTGTGGTTGTGTCTGTGTGGGGGCCCCGGGGCATCCTCTCTGGGGGGCCTTGGCTCCCGACACAGATGCTGCAGGGCTCAAATAAGACAACGGTCTGGCCTCATTCATGTGGTTGCCTGTGTGCATCCCCGATTCTTTTTAAAATGGGGGTTGCCCTTGGCTGGTGTGGCTCAGTGGCTTGAGCACCGGCCTGCAAACCAAAGGGTTGCTGGTTCGATCCCCAGTCAGGGCTCATGCCTGGGTTGCAGGCCAGGTCCCCAGTGGAGGGTGCTCGAGAGGCAACCTCACACTGATGTTTCTCTCCCTCTCTTTCTCCCTTCCTTACCCTCTCTCTAAAAATACAAAACTAAAGTCTTAAAAAAAATAGGGCTTGGTCTGCCAGGCACACACATGGCATTCCTCTACATACTAAACATTTCAAGCATGACATTGACTCCTAAACTCAAATTGCTGTATTACAATCAAATCGCATCAGACAGCCTTATATTTAAAAGCTCAGGGCACTGTCCTGAGCTTTTAAACCAACTCAGGGCACTGTCTGATGATATTTGCTTAGGGGGTCCAGGCCCCCAAAAGAGGATGTCCTGGGGTGCCCTGCCTAGATACTGTCACATATTGTTTGACACATGTGCTCGATAAATACTTGTATTGCTGAATAAGTGCCTTGAAAATGGAAGCCTTATCCTTTTCCTGCCCTCTGTTTTACATTGTCCCTTTGGTTAAGCGTGATGAGTCCGTGGCAGCAGACCTCAGATTTCCCTGTGTGCAGGAGGGAAGTCACTGATGAGCCCAGCCAAGGCTCCCCACTTGACTGGTGAGCCCAGCCATGACCTCCCATCAGCTATGACCATTATTTATGTGAATGGGGGAGCAGGGGGTAGTGGCTTCACAGAGGAGCCTAGAGCTTTGCTACTCAAAGTGTGATTCCTGGCAACTAGCATGAGCATCGCCTGGGAGTTAACCTGAAATGCAGATTTCAGGTGCTGCTCCAGAGCACCTAGAGCAGCATCTGCATTTTAACAGAACCCTTAGATTTTCAAGCACATTAAAATTTAGGGAACACTGTCCTAGAAAGTCAAAGGAGAACTGGAACCTGAACTCCACATTAAGGTGACTAGGAAGATAACAGAAAGGGAAGTCTTAAAGGGGGACTGGAAGCCAGAGAGGATGCAGGTGAGGCAGCCAGTCCAAAGGTCGGAGCGGGGGCAGCAGGAAATCGGGAGACATGCCGGTTATACGAGGCTTAGAGCCAGAACTCGGAACGAGCAGGGCCAACGTCAGTTTTGGAGCATCAGATTAGGGTTTGGTGCGTCCTGGCAATGGGCTCAGAAAAGGTTTAGAGGGAGCCATCCTAGCAATTCAAATCTTGGCTCAGTTTCTATTGTTGCCTCACAAACCATCCCATGTTTTAGTGGTTTAGAACAGCAACTATGTACTCAGGACTCTGTGTGTTGGCAATATGGTGGGCAGGGTCAGCTGGGCCGGCTCGTCTCTGCCCCCTGCTGTCTCATGGGGCTCACTAAAGCTCCACGTGGCAGACTGGCCTGGGGGGTGGCTGGCCCCAGGTGGCTTGTCTGGACTCGAATATCTGGTTTGAGACAATGAGTCCATAACTCAAAAGCTGGGTTAACTGGGCCTCTCTCTTCATGAAGTCTCAAGTTGGCAGTGTTACCAAAGGACCAAAGCAGAAGCTACAAGTACATTTTGAGGTCAAATCTTGAAAGTCACTTCTGCTATATTCTGTCAGTCAGAGTTAGTCACAAGACCAGTCTGGTGGAATGAGCTTCAAAAATTCTCTGAGCAGCTACCACGTTTTGCACATACTAGCTCCTTGACCTACTTAACCTTCCTGACATTTAGCCTCCCTGAGCCGCTGTTTCCTCTTCCTTTAAAATGTAAATAACGAGAGCTTTTTCATAGGATTGTGTTTATATGAGACACAAAGCTCTTGTGAGTGGCACATAATTAGCACACAATAAATGGTAACTATTATTAGTAGTAGTAACTGCTGAAATTTGTGTCTTCTCCCTATATAGCCTCCTTTTCAAGTCTGCATAGAGAGTACTTTTAAAATGATTAAAGCATTAGATTCTCACTGTCAGACTTGAAAAGGGGCAGAGAAAAAGACACGGTGTGTGTGTGAGAGAGCCAGAGAGGGAGACAGGGAGAGAGAGAGAATATGAATGACCAATATGAATGGTCCATATGAATGAACCAATGATGTATTATAAAAGAAAGGACTTTGGTGAGGGAAAACTAGTGTTTGCTGTGCATAATGTATAGCAATTGGGGGCCAAATTGGCCCTACAGCTTGAATTCCCTCAACCATTCAAACTCTGTCCCGTCAACGTGTGGTCTGAGGACCAGCAGCATCAGTGATGCCTGAAGTTAGTGATGAAAAGCCTGGTCCTCAGCCAGGCCTGCTGCATCAGAATCTGCGCCTGAGTGGAATCCTAGGGATTCTTGCACACACTGAAGTTAGAGAGGCAGCATCAACTTCAAGACAGCCACTTTCCACTCACTCGGTCTGCTGTGCCTGAACTCGCGCGGGCTCTTTGGGAACAAGCTAAACTACTTACATTCGAGGTGGACCTGATGGGAGAAGGAAAAGAGCGATGTCGGTCTTCCCTCATCTTGTGAGATGAAGTGGGTCACTCGCAGGGGAACAGTTTGGTGTGAGGACATCACTTTGATCAAGAGTTCGTCAGAGTCAGACAAAGGAAAGGGGCATTTTCAGAATTTTATAGGGTGTCATTTAGATATTCACAGAAGTTGTGACCCGGTTAGACTGGAAGAATAGGAAAAACATTCGGAATAGAACCAGGCGTACATGAATTATTCAAGCCAATAAAGTGGTAGCTGACAGGTGGGACCTGGATTGTAAGCTCGCCCAGGTAATGATGCAGCTTGAAACCCGGAGAGACCCACAGGCTCAAGAGAGTTCACGATGTCGTTGGCTGTTGTCCTGGGAGAGTGGAACCTCGTGCCTTGGCCACGCACCTCCGGCCAATAAGAACGTGCATGGCACTAAAGGGGCAGCCTCCACCGGTTTGGGATGCTGTCTTCTCAATTTCTCATCCTGTTAAGATTTAGGGTTAGACAGAGAGATGGTGAAATAAATCAGATCCACAGGGTTAGCATTTTTGTGTAAGTTCCGGAAAAGATTTTTATAATCTTGAGGATGATGTGCGTTGTGTGGTATTTCAAATATTTGTAAGGGAGGATTGGACTTGTTAGAGAATTGTGGTCTCTATTTAAAGAGTGTAATTTGTCATTTTTAGTTGAAACATGAAAGACACCTTTACACACCCTTTGACTTAGGTTCTAAACCATTTCATAATGCTTAAGAGGACTTGAAATTTAATATGGTTCCATTTTGCTAGTAATGTAAATACTCAAGAATATTTCGCTTGTTAGAAGGATTTGAAATGCTAAAAAGATTCAAAGATTAAATATATAATGCAGCTTGGAATTTTTAATGGAATTTAAGTAATTGAGTATGTAAATGGAACTGTTTACGAGAATTTAGTTCCTGTAGCTTTAGTTGACAAACTTTAATCCCTTTGAAACTGATAGATAAAATTTACTCAATATATAAATAGGATAATAAAGTTTTTATGTTGAACTTTAAGGTTTAAGGAAAATTAGATTTTAGAATGAGTTAAAATTTATTTCTCTAATAAGTTTCACATTAATTTAAAAACTATTTGCACATAGCTTTCATCATGCTGTAAAGTTTCCAATAAGACACCAGAAACTCATGTTAACATTAATTATTCAAACTATCTCGAGTATCTGCTAAGTTTAAGCATTTTAAAGCCTTTTGTCGTTGTTATTGTTAACTGGGGGCATTCCTCTTGCACGAAAACTTCCAAAGGTGTAACCTTCAGGTTCCCTGGTGAAATTTCCATGTGTACCATCTGTAGGTAACTGGCCAACAGACCACACAAGTGCCTTCTAGGATGGCTCTCCCACAGTCATGGCATCACCAAACATTGTCTAAAGCCCCCCCTGCTTCACACCCAGACGCCCAGGACAGGTAGA